CCGGATGTAGCAAAAAGAAATTTGTCCATCTCTCCTGATTATTCCTCATATGAATTCAACACAACAATACATTTTACATGTCCCGAAGGATTTATAATCCGGGGATATACACAAGCAGTTTGTGGACCAGAGGGGATCTTCATTAATAATAATCGTTCTGTATACATGCATCCATCATGCGAAGGTAACAAAAAAGCGTTGCACATTATAAGGCAGGAAAACTAACAATCAGCATTTTTAGCTCACCTGAGCCGAAGGCTCAAGTGAGCTTTTCTGATCACATTTTGTCCGGCGTCCGTCTGTCCGTCTGTCTGTCCGTCCGTCTGTCTATCCGTCTGTCTGTCCGTAAACTTTTCACATTTTCGACTTCTTCTCAAGAATCGCTGGGCCAATTTCAACCAAACTTACCACAAAGCATCCTTGGGTGAAGGGGATTCAAGTTTGTTCAAAGAAAGGGCCATGCCCTTATTCAAGGGGAGATAATTGAGAATAAGTGAAAATTTGGTGGTATGTTTTAAAAATCTTCTTCTCCAGAACCACTGTGCCAGGAAAGTTGAAACTTATGGGGAAACATCCTCAGGTAGTGTAGATTCAAGTTTGTTCAAATCATGTCCCCCGGGGGTAGGGCGGGGCCACAATGGCCGACCAAAGTTTTATATAGAAATATAGAGGAAAATTCTTTAAAAATCTTCTTTTCAAGAACAGCAGAGCCATAATTGCTCATATTGATAAGGAAGCATCCCCAGGTAGTGTAGATTCAAATTTGTTAAAATCATGACCCCCGGGGGTAGGGCGGGGCCACAATGGCCGACCAAAGTTTTACATAGAAATATATAGGAAAATTCTTTAAAAATCTTCTTCTCAAGAACAGCAAAGCCATAATTGCTCATATTTAAATGGAAGCATCCCCAGGTAGTGTAGATTCAAGTTTGTTCAAATCATGACCCCCGAGGGTAGGGTGGGGCCACAATGGCCGACCAAAGTTTTATATAGAAATATATAGGAAAATTCTTTAAAAATCTTCTTCATAAGAACAGCAAAGCCAGAATTGCTCATATTTATTAGTTAGATTCAAGTTTGTTCAAATTGTGACCCCCGTAGGTAGGGCGGGGCCACAATGGCCGACCAAAGTTTTATATAGAAATATATAGGAACATTCTTTAAAAATCTTCTTCTTAAGAACAGCAAAGCCAGAATTGCTCATATTTATTAGTTAGATTCAAGTTTGTTCAAATCATGACCCCTGGGGGTAGGGCGGGGCTACAATGGCCGACCAAAGTTTTATATAGAAATATATAGGAAAATTCTTTAAAAATCTTCTTCTCAAGAACAGCAAAGTCATAATTTCTCATATTTATATGGAAGCATCCCCAGGTAGTGTAGATTCAAATTTGTTCAAATCATGACCCCCGGCGTAGGGCGGGGCCAAACTTTTGGATTCAAATTTTTCAATAGTAGACCAATTACTACTTTTTCCTAGCCACAATGCTCGGGTGAGCGGTGTGGCCCATGGGCCTCTTGTTTTAATTTAGAAAGAAAGGGATCTCATTATACACATCTTTTTTCTCCCTTTTAGTACTAAAAGATTTAAAAATTGTTTTTAATTGTCTGAAAAATATATTTTGTATGATATTGTTCCTTTTGATAAGTACATGTGTATTAACTTACCTCATCCCTTTGTCATGTTGTCAATAAAATATGTTCAAAACAAAACAAACTAGACATCATTGAGATGGTGGCCATCTCAAAGGGCCCCGCTTTCAACAATGAACAGGAAAATGTAAGGTAGTTTAAAAGGGATCATTTTGAAGAGGAACATTTGTGTAATACAGTAAAAGGTCATTTAGTACAACCTCACGGATATTGCAAATTTACCATTAAATATCGAAGTTATCTTGTATCCCCAGTTATATAAATTTACTGGAATTAAAGGGAAAGAATTATGCACCAAAGATTTTAAACAGAGAGGGTAATTCTGACCATGACCTAGAAACTTCGACCAAGGTCACTGCATATCCATTGACCAGTGGATCTCTTTGAGTGAAGTAATAGCCAGACTGGGCTAACATGAGAGAAATATGCTCCGGACAAGGATTTTTTATATAATTCTGCTATGACCTTGACCTTTGACCTAGAAATCTGGTTCAAAATCACTGCATGCCAGTTACCAAAAGACACTCTCTGGGTGAAGTATGAGGCAGTTTGGGCCATGGAGAGAGAAGATATGCTCCGGACAAGGATTTTTCATATAATTCTGCTATGACCTTGACCTTTAACCTAGAAACCTGGTTCAAAGTCACTGCACACCGGTTACCCAAAGGCACTCTGTGGGTGAAGTATGAGCCAGATTAAGGCAAGGAGAGAGAATATATGCTCCGGACAAGGATTTTTCATATAATTCTGCTATGACCTTGACCTTTGGCCTAGAAATCTGGTTCAAGGTCACTGCACACCGTTTACCCACAGGCACTCTGTGGGTGAAGTATGAGCCAGATTGGGCCAAGGAGAGAGAAGATATGCTCCGGACAAGAATTTTTCAAATAAATTTGCTATGACCTTAAACTTTGACCTAGAAACATGGTCCAAGGTCCCAAAGGCACTCTGTAAAGTATGAGCCAGATTAAGCCAAGGAGAGAGAAGATATGCTCCGGACAAGGATTTTTCATATAATTCTGCTATGACCTTGACCTTTGACCTAGAAACCTGGTTCAAGGTCACTGCACACCGGTTACCCAAAGGCACTCTGTGGGTGAAGTATGAGCCAGATTGGGCCAAGGAGAGAGAAGATATGCTCCGGACAAGAATTTTTCATATAATTCTGCTATGACCTTGACCTTTGAAATAGAAACCTGGTTCAAGGTCACTGCACACCGGTTACCCAAAGGCACTCTGTGGGTGAAGTATGAGCCAGATTGGGCCAAGGAGAGAGAAGATATGCTCCGGACAAGAGATCTCGGACGGACGGACGGACAGCCGGACGGACGGACGGACGGACGGACGGACAGACTGATCACTATAGGGCGCCCGCCAAGCGGGGCCCTAACTAACCTCAACCCCAACCCTTATCTATAAGTAGTTATATATTTAATTTATCTTTATAGCTATAACTTGTTCCAGTGCTGACAATCTATCGGATATAATAAAGACTCCTTCAAAGCTAAAGTTTAACTACCATGAGAGGATAAACTTTTCTTGTGCAAGTGGATACTCTCTACAAAAACCAACAACAGCTGTGTGCGAAAAGTACGGGCTCCGATATACAGATGGATCTCCGAATTGTATAGGTAAAATGTGTAATACATAAAGTTCTTTTGTCTATTTTATCGCGTTTACTAACTCTTTATCTTTCAACTTTTTTTAGAAATACAATGTAACAGCTCAACTGTATCAAGCAACAACCTGTTACTAGATCCTCTAGAAGAAATTTATGCATTTAATGTGACCATAACCTTTTCATGTATACAAGGGTACAACCTAAAAGGCTCTAAGTGGGGAAAATGTTTACAAAACAACGTCTTTGTTTTTATGCCTGACAATGAAAAGCCATATTGTGAAGGTAAAACTGTCTTCCATCATGCACACAAACATCTGAAAGCAAGGAAATCTAATTCAAGATGATCCAAAATTAATGACAATCCATGTAGCGCAAATTATTATTGATACAATGTACGAGGGTTGTCCCAAAAAAGTCGTATACAATGTTTATAACTTTTTAAACATGCAACCAATATTAACAAAATTTTGCATAGATATAATATGATCTATGTTCTTTAAAATTATAGATTTATTAGGACGATTAAAAAAGTGGTCAATAAGGTCTCTCTGCGTACGGACAAAATTCGGAATAATTTACGTATATAATTATTACATTTGCTTTTATTTCTTTAGTACTGTTTAAAACATTGAACTCAAATTTAAATCAGTGAAATCAGAATCAAAATCTAAATAATAAGTCAAAATTTTAATATAAATAGCATTGAAAACAGACGATTGGTGTCATGATTTTCAAAGTGTTGTTGGAATTGATTTTGATGAAAATGACGTCGTCAAACGCATAACCGGCGCACGGATATATAATAAATAGTTTTGAATAAGGTTTGTATACATCAGAGACAGGATTAAAATGGTACAGAAGTGACATTACACACTAGATATTAATAGGGAAGTTATTTTTAAATGGCATGAGATTCATTAAGAGTTTTTCCTCTTCTTCTTTCTTCTTCTTTTCTTGTCATAACAAAAAGTAACATTTTATAATCATGCATTTCAAATTTCATGATGATATCACATTTAATAAGAAAATTATGAAAAAAATAAATAAAGCATGTAATTCAAAGAAATTTAATTCCGCATAGAGAAAATTAAACTGTATTTCTTCTGTCTACGACTTTTTGGGACAACCCTCGTATTTCTATTCTAAAATTATTTCAGTCCCTTAATTAACACTTCGTGTACCATGCATTGAATAATATAATATTTTTCTTGTTAACAACTTGAAAGTAAATCATGCCTTCACGTCTCATCACTGCTTGACGATTGGTGATACATGCATCCTTTAATAATGTTGGCTTCGCAGAATCTATGCCTGTGCGGTTCACCTTTTTAAGTTTTGTTTAAAATAACAAATATATATGTATAATAAATAGAGACGAGTCTCGGCTTATGGAACGCCGTCACTGCCTTATAGCAGAACACTACTATTGCATTGTGTCAACCTTCCATTACATTATGTCAACTCTTTATGACATTAACCCACCCTACTATTGCATTGTGCCAACCTTCCATTACATTATGTCAACTCTTTATGACATTAACCCACACTACTATTGCATTGTGTCAACCTTCCATTACATTATGTCAACTCTTTATGACATTAACGCACACTACTATTGCATTGTGTCAACCTTCCATTACATTATGTTAACTCTTTATGACATTAACCCACACTACTATTGCATCGTGTTAACTTTCCTTTACAGTATATCAACTCTTTATGACATTTACACATACTACAATTTTATTTCGTCAACTTGCATTTCGTTATGTTTACTTTTCATGACAATCTTAGTTTTTATTAACTGATGTGAAAAGCTCATGCCATACTGTGCGCACTCTTCTACATTATGTCGATTCACTATTACGTTATGCGAACGCGGGTATCCTCGGCCTTTATATGAGCATAACGTATTTTCCGCGTTCCGCAAGCACTAAAATGGCGGGAGAGAAAACTGTCGTAGAAGAGATTCTCAGCGATTTCGGAATGACATCTTTAAATGAAAACTTTAAGCGACAAATGATTGACAATCTTGAAACATGCAAAGCCTTAACACTGCGACTGTGAATTAAAGTCACGTCGAAATTCAATGGTGTTTACTTTAATCTGATAATTATATAAATCAAATATTATGAGGCGTGCAGCAATCATTTTTTCTTTTTATTTTGAATTTTTTTTTTTTTTTTTTTTTTTTTTTTATAAAAGTCTTAAACTTTGTAGGACATTGCATAAGTTTCACATTAAGTTTAGCTGAATTAAGTTGAAAACTTTTTCTATAAAACTATAAAGCCTGAAAGCTTCTCCGCTTTCCGCCCTTGGTCTCCAACCATATACCGTCCCCCTTCCTTGTTCAAGATTCCCATATCTGCCACTGATATGTGTCCATGCATGCTTACTAAGGCATATTCAATTGATTTAGATGAGCGACTGGTAGATTTTTGTAATAGAATTCTGGCCCTGGAATGATTAAAAAAAATTACTAACTCCAGTGACGTAGCATCATTTTTTTGAAAGAGGAGGTCAGCCAGTAAAAAAAAATCATTTATCCGAAAAAAATAGACAAGCCAAGAAAAAAAATGTCCAAGCCCGAAAATCCTATTTCGGGGAGAGTGGTCCAACTTCAATCAATCCTATTTTTTTCCAGATATATTATATTACCCTTAGTGGACTATATTTCAACAAGAAGTGGGGGGGGCTGTACAGTTTCAATGAACATTACATTTTCTATAGTAAAGTTATGTCTGGGAAAAGAGGGGGGTTGATATTATGTACCTGTAATTTGTCCTAATCAATCACGACCCCCCCTTCTTACCAGTCATTAAACCACGGTCGTCAACATTTATTATATACTAGATATACAGCTTTGAGATAATTTAAATGTATTTTTGCATCAGGTAATGAACTTGGAATCCACATGATAAAGAGTTAACACAATATAAAGATATTTTTAAATCACATAAGAAAGAGTTGGCATAACGTTATAATATATCCACATCACGGTATGGAGTTTTGACATAATGTAATAAAGTGTTGATATAATATAAAGATATGTTCACATTATGTTATACACTTTTTACACCACGTAATAAAGCACTAACATAAAGGTAAGATGTGTTCACCTCACATCATGATGCCCTCGCCGTAAAATAAAGATAAATCCATATCACGTAATAATACTTTGATATAATAGAAATATACACTCTCAAAAAGGAATGGGCTTTTGACTTCATGATATGATAAGTTTAATCATAAAACACAATTTACTTGACGTAATGCAATTTTGACCTCACATATTAAAGAAATGAAATGATGTAAAGAAACATTCATTTCACGTAATAAAGTTTTAACACAATGTAAACACATTATCACTTCACATAATGAATTTTTTACTTCAAGTTATGAAGTGCTGACATAATGAAAGGATGTATTTACTTCATGAAATGCAGCATTGACATGATGTTAAGATATATTTTCATCATCCCATAAAAAATGGACATAACGTAAAGATATGTTCACATCACGTAATGATAAATTGACGTAATAAATGCATAGTTGTATGCTATAAGGCAGTGATGGCGTTCCATATCGGCTGATAATATTTTTCTTGTGATATTATTTATCAATGTTACCTTCGACTACATGCAGTACATACAATTAAACTATAAAAATGCATCTAAGATTTTAATGCAAACGCAGCACCGCTTGAAAAAAATCTAAATCGTTGAAAAATACCAGGTAGGTAAAATTAAAGGAGAGACCCAAACGGGATATCAGGTGTAAGTTTCAGAAGAAACTGATGACAAAAAATTACGCAACGTCAAGAGATCTGTGTCTTTTACTTTTCGTATCCCCAGGTATGATAGGAATTTTGGGTACCAATTCCATGGGAGAAAATCGTGCCTTTGTTTTCTTTTCACAGATATAACATGCAACGAATCGGCTATAGAAGTTGAAAATCTTTTAATTGATACGTCAGTTATCTACAAATACAATCAAGTAAAAGAATTTAAGTGCAAAGAAGGTTTCATTAACAATGGATCAAAGATGGGGACATGCAAAGCTCAAGATGGTTTTGAATTTTCATCCAGTGGTCAACCTTTTTGCAAAGGTATGAAGCTTCCTCTATTTTTCAGGATATAATTCACATTGTATCAAATTATTTTCATAAACAGAAAGCTAATGATAACTTTTAGCTAAAAAATGGAAACAAGAATCTTGACTGCAAAATAATGATATTAACAATTATTACTGAAATTCATAAGGAGAAAAAAGATTTCTCTCTACTGGGGAAAATGAAAGAAGCGTGGATATATTTGTGCCTAACTACCAATATCAAATACTAAATATATTTCCGTTTGGAAATTATACTTTTTCGAGATGTTGTGGGAATATTTAGCTAAAACAAGAGGAACCATGATAAGATCGATGTTTAGCTTATAAGAGGTTTACATCGCTTTGATTTGTGCAGAGAAAGTCGGTCATTTTCAAACAGTTATTGGAGACTTTACTGGGGGGATACTTGGTGGCATTGGTATATTGGTATTTATTTTTTTGGCACTGATGCTTCTGAGGTATGTTGTTTTTATCATTGTTTCATGAAAATTGCATTTCATTTGTAACATATACATGTATGTAGTATTTATTTAAATATATGGGGGTTTTTTTACCTTGCACACCATGGTTTTTTTTTCCAGTTCGTAAAAGCAACACTGTCTAGGTACAAATGGTACATTTCTAAAAAAAAATTATTCTGGTTGTAGCACATCTTTTAATTGGATAAGGTATTTGGTTTATATCGCATAATATTCCCTACGTCACCATGACTTACGTCATAGCAGTATTATTCCGCTTGATGTAACTTTTAAAATATGCTCTATTTAAACGGTTTTTTTAAAGGAAAATATATTTTATTGACTGCAATAATTGACGATAATTAAATCATAAGAAATCTTTTTAATAGTTACCAAAGTTATTCTGTTAACAATTTATCCCTTATGTTATACTGCTAACATAGACCTAATTCTGAATGTACCGCTATTAAAGGAGGAAATCAAAAATAAAAACCACTGCTAATGCCCCTCCCCAAGACAACGAGCAAATGCTTAGCAACTTAGATAATCAATATGCAGCGGTTGACCCACTGAGGAAAAAAGAAGAAATTATAATTTCTGACCTAACAACAGGCAAGTCATTGCATTTGTAATTCAAATATTTAAAGTAACATTTTATGTACAAGTTTATTCCTTTTCAATTTCTTTGCATACCATTTAATGAAAATAAATCACTTGTGTTATAAGTTTTCAAAGGAATGCATGTGTCCTCTTCTTTTTGGCATAAAAGAGGTAAATTCAAAATATGGTCATCTACTATTTTACTACCGGATTTATACTACTTCTTCGTGTAGTAACCTACAAGTACAATAAAAAAAATCATAGATAGTAAAACTGCAATGCAATCACAAATATCCCTATCCCTCAAAGTTGGTCTCAATTTGCTTGGCAGGTGACATAAAATTGCCTTCGAAATACTGTGAAATCACAAAATTTCGTGGGGTTTAATTTTCGTTGTTTTCGAGGTATGAGGAGACCCACGAATTCATGTCCACCACGAAATGTAAAATGTTACATAAATAACTACTCAACAATTCTTCATCCACGAATTCAAATCCCCATGAACCAAGAGTTTTTCCTCAAACCATGAAAATTTGACCCCACGAAAATTTGTGATTTTACAGTATGTATTTTATATAGATGTAGCTATTTTAATGATTTTTTGTATCATTTAATACAATATTTAACATTAATGGAATTATTTGAATTTTTCTGTAGAGATAAACGACGGATCACAAACATATGAAAACGTGAGCGCCACAAATAAAGATAGTTTGAATACACCAGATCAGAATGTTTACTATGAGTTTTTACCAGAGTCAAAGCCATCGGAAACTGCCATCAAATTATCCCTGTTCAAGGACCACGTGGAGATCAGAAAGAGAGAGAACAATTTCTTCAGCAATCAATTTAAGGTTAATGTTCATTATCGATAAACCATTCAATTTTGTATTTGTTAACGTTCATTCCTTCTTTAAATTTCTGTTATGCATGTATTAAATAAAAGCATTCATAAATTCTTATCAGCAGGGATTGCGTGTGCAAAATATTAACAACACTATTCTCCGCTTGATGAGTTATCCTTATCAAAAAGTCTTTTATCACAAGTAGTCTTCTTTCCAATATTGCAAGAAAAACGGACAGAAAATAGAATGTTTAGAAAAGAGACCCTTTTTGCTTTGAATGTAACTTAAAAAGGTTCCATCAAGATACAAGATTATTATTACTTTTTTTTATCATTAACACATAGTAAATCACGGAAGTCTGTAGGTGCCAGGTAAGAAAAAATATTTTACTACAAGAAACTTAATTATTAAGCGGCGGCTAAACAAATTACTGGTGGCTGCCACACAATTTCTAGCGACCGCCAGATTTTTAATGCAGACAACAGAAAGTTACAGGATGACAGTCGCATATGTATCAGATAATTATTTGACGACCACCACACTTTTTTTTTAAATTGCATCCACCGCCATTGCTGAAGTATTTTTCAAAAAAATATTGATAGACCTGAACCGTGCAGGATGATTGTTTTTTTTACTTTATATGAGAGAGAGAGAGAAAGATTTAACCACACTGCCACTTGGTTTTGTAAAGAAAGCCTAACAACAGTATTTTTCACTTCAGAAATTTTATAATGGTCTTCAGTTTCCGGCCACGGCTGCTGTAGCGTCTGGCAATAAGTCGAAAAACAAATACAAACACGTCTATCCATGTAAGAGTTCATTCTGATTTACTAGTATCTTTATGATATGTATTTCCTCCTTTAATGATAAAGAATCTTTTTAAGTAATAGGAAAAAAATTAATACTCTGTACGTACTAGTATTGTTTTGCTGCAACTATCTTGCTTTTCATAATTTTTATGAAAATGTTTGAATGATTAACTTTTTTTTTAATTTAATTTTTAAATAATATAAATAGACGATGAAACACGTGTTAAGCTAAACGTAGAAAATGATCCTGAAAAATCAGATTTCATCAACGCATCCTATATACACGTATGTATGCTATTACAGACCTATTTCAAATTAAAATCAAACAATTGTGTAAATAATCACTCGTATGTTATTTCATAAAAAACTTCTTAGGAGTCATTTGTCGTAACTAATTAATACCTTATGCATAATAATTTTTTAACATTAATCTGATCGCAGGGATATGGAAAAGTAAAGGCATATATTGCTGCACAAGGTATATAATGCAATCCATTAATGATATATAAAGTAATAATAATTGATAAAATATGAATCTGTACTCAAATTATTTTTAAAGAAATTATTTTTTTTATATAAAATAACGAGCTATATGAGTAATTCAATGCGTAATGATTTGTTGCTACTGTTGGGATCTTTAATTTCAATATCACAGTATTCTACTCTATTCTATCTAGGGCCTTTGGTAGATACTATTGAAGACTTTTGGTCACTGGTATGGAATGAAAATTGTGGGAAAATTGTGATGCTTATAAATTTAAAGGAGAATGACAAGGTAATATGAAGATTTAAAAACAAATAGAACAATCTGTTTACAAACGTTTTCCCCTAATATTGTTTCGCGGAATTGTTGTTTATCCCACAGGTCTTCAAATCCTCTAAAACGACACTCAAAACTGAGGGAAAATAATATAAATTTAGACTTTTTCAGATAGGTTACCCAAAATTGTCAATAAAATTTTCATAGATTGAATAAATTTAAAATTACACTTTCGAGTCATACCTCCATATACTAGGAGTATATTAGGAAACTACATTGCCACCAAATTTTTAATTCCTAAATTGCGTAGAATATGCTGAAATCGATTGTTTAAAAACTTTTTTTCAAAAAAGACCTTTTTATTGCAATCATTAGAGTGATCCAAAAAATATATTTTTGTTTAACGAGGCTGGGGTGTGGCAACCATTTTCAGACTATTTTGATCTCCTTTAAAAGAAGAGCTCCATATAAAGGTATACAAAAATGATTAAATTTTAAAACTACAATGTATGATTTTTTTCTTTGCCAAATGATAGTTGACAGCTTAAAATACCGTATCTAAAAAAAAAAATACGTTAAATCTGGTGGTTAATTTATGGATAATTTGTTGACCCCCCAGCCTCCTTAAATTGATTTAAGGAATCGCTGTCTAGATTGTGGGTATCACAGGGCATCAACGATACAGTTGCATAAAATCTTCTCATGCTTCCAATTATCGTAGATGCCCCTTGCATAACCAACATAATTGACAGTGATTCCTTATATTTCCATTCCATTCTGAAATAAAAGTGTTATTTAGATTTTTGAAGAAATGGAGTCTAATCAAAATCACACGAGGCCTCCCATGTCAATTTAGATAGACCTCCCCCACTGACGTCAGTTATAAAGACAGCTGCATGAGATTATATGCCTCCTTAGCTCTTGATCTTTCCCTAAAAATGGAAATGTTCTTTCAGATAAAATGCATCCAATACTGGCCTGAGAAAGGCCTTATGAAGAAAGGAGAATTAATCATAGAAGTTGTAGATACTGAAGAGTTTGCAGACTTCATAATTCGGACATTTTGCTTTAAAAAGGTAATATGTATTTCAATTTCTATTTAATTTCTTAGTGCCTTATTGTATCTACAGTAATGATATCTTGAGATGATTTACATCTGTTTTAATTACCAGGAAAATAAACAGAGAATAATTCGACATTTTCACTTTACGGCATGGCCAGATAAAGGAGTTCCTCTCTACGCCTCATCTCTAGTTCATTTTCACTCAAAAGTGAAAAATACTATTGCTCAGGGCAAAGGTCCTATGGTTGTACATTGCAGGTTTTTTTTTTCTTTTCATTGTTCCTTTTTCTAATGTTCTGTGTTTTGCGGCTTTGTTTTGCACTTGAGGAATCCTATTTTGATATTCTTTTGCTAATTTAGTGCAGGTATTGGTAGAACTGGTAGTTTTATTGCGTTGGACTTCCTGATTCAGCAGGCCAAAGAATCGGGCTTTATAGACGTGTTTAGATGTGTGGAAACATTGAGACGACAACGAGTCAATATGGTGCAGACTTTGGTACGCGTTTTGATATTTAGCTTAAAACATTTAATTTTCTCGTTATGTATACACATAGTGATAAATCTTTTGTATCTTGCAGTAGTATTTACAAAGCTTCTTTATTTTATGTTAAAGGAGCAATATATATTTCTTCACGATGCCCTTGTTGAAGCATTAATGTGTACATCGTCCGTTCCTTCAACGACCGAGTTTTCTCAGATTTACCAAAATCTGATGAAAGTAGACCCAAAAAGTGGCAAAAGAAATATTGACCAATATTATGAGGTAAAGCGCACTCGAATTGTTTTAGAAAGTTCCTTTATTTCATAGAGGTACATGGGTAACAAAATGTGTTAACTAATTTTGTAGAACCTGAGTACTGGTTGTGCTGAAATCCCTCAAGCTGCCTACGACTTTGCTAAGAAGCAAGAAAACAAAAGAAAGAACAGATACAACAATATTTTACCAAGTATTTTTATATTAAATAAGCATAGTTTAATTTTTTTTTACATGGAATGATCTTCTTTGATAAGAGATTGCTTGGCAATTATCTCTACGTCAACACCTGCATAAGCACATAATTATATGCATGTTTGTTATACCTCTGAGAATTTTTTCTATAAAAAATTTGACGAATAAACATGCTATTTTTTTCCAAACGTTCCCTACCATGAAATAGTTTTTGTGCTATCTGTTCATGGTGAAATAGTTATCGAACTATTAACGGCAGCATTATGTTTCCCTCGCTTTTCATCTCGGAAACTTATTGTTTTAACCGGATCGTGCCATTAGATTATGCCGTAACAAAAGTACAGTCAGCATCGGTATAATAAACCACCCATTTACTCACTATTAGGACAATAGCAAGTTTATCGTCCCATCTGGCTTTCTTTGGGGACGATAAACTTGCTATTGTACTCATAGCCAGTAAATTGGTGTATAATGTACATGTAACTAGGTAGGTAGGAACATGTTAGTGCCATTGTATGTATGTAAGACGACTCCATTTTTGTTTTTCTATAACTGTTGGACAATTTACAACTCAAAATTTTAAAGACTAAAGACCTGCTTCAATGAAGAAAAGTCAAGTTTATTCAGCTTTTGAAAGAAAATAGGAGTATGCACACATTTCGTATTGGGATGGCATTTGAATTTTATTTAGTAACCAATTAACAAGATACATGTAGGATTGCAGATGTTAAAGCTCTAAATTCGCAAGGTGCTTAATCTTTCGTTTCGGTTTCTAATCTTATAGAGGAACATGCAGATAGATCTTCAGATGATACAATATAAAAAGATCCCGTTTCGCAGTAGGTGTTGACAAGAAAAAAGATCCCTTACTGCTCAATTGTCCTGACACAGAGTATAGGCCTAAATTTGCAGCCCTCACCGCAAGAGGTTACGTCTCAGTATGAGTGTATAATTTTCTAGAGGTATATTGAACAATAAATAAACAATGAAAAGAGAAGGTCTGCGATAGCCAACTGACATACAATGTTATTTATTATGTATACAGTCTTGCTTAAGTTATAGACCATAATCAGCTTCTTATGTCTAGTTAATATGGGCAGTAAAACTGATTGACAATCAATCTAAAGCTGATTGTTTATAGTAACATACGATTTCGCTGTGAATTTCGCTGTGAATTTACAGGTACTGAAACCTGTAGTTTTTTTTATTTATCCGAGAATGATTTTGAAAATATACATACATAATAATATAGTTTTTATAGTTGAATCGATGGATGGTTGGAATAAAACCATACAAAATTGCGTGTTAAAAAATTGCAGATAAAGTTCTAATTTGTCTATTTTATATTGATCAACATTTCTATTTAGGATTAAAGATGTGATACATACTTTTAAAAGAATTACCTTTATATATGTCCAACAATTCTTTGATAATTGCTTTGCTCATTGATTGGGGTTTATTCATTCTATGTTTATTGTAACATATCTTCAGAAGACAATCTATGTTATGTTAAACTTTTATAGTAGATTCATCAATGCCACAGATTTGGGATGAAAGATACAAGCCCATCTATATCAACGCCGTTTTCCTGCCAGTAAGCCAAGTATTTTTGTCCTATTACGTCTAAACATTTTTAGTGTGTTTTCCCCAATTATAAACAATACGAATATGAACACAAAACAATATGAACATAAGTCAGAAAGAGGACCCCTTAAAAAGATATTAGAATTCCTCACATTGTTAATCATTTTTAGTCTTTTTAAACAATGTATCTTTTTACTTAATGTACCTTGTGAAAGTTACCAATAACGCTTCACGAAATGTTTATATTTAAACAATTATCTTTGTTTATTTTATGTACCTGTAAGTGTGTAAATTACCAGTATTTTTAATGTATATTTCAGGCCTACAAAAACAGGCACTCGTTCATAGTGACACAGATACCTCTCAGAGAGACCGTTGTTGACTTTTGGAGGCTAGTTTACCAGCAACGTGTTTCTACAATCGTTCTCCTCGGTGAAGTAGAAGAAAATGTGTCAAATTTGGAACAGGTTTTCAATTATGTATTTTATATATAACGTATTAGAAATACAATTTTTTGAAAAATGAAATCAATTTTTTTTTTTATAAAATTGATGTTTTAATTTTCAACGATAGAAATATCCCGAACACTGTTTGACTTTAATTTGAACTTCTGCGCATACAGTTGCCCGCGTGCCGCAGTGGTTATAGCGTCTGCTCTAAGAGTCGCGAAGTAAGGAGTTGATCCTTACGTCGCGGGTTCAAATCCCACTGTGGGACGTTGAGACCGGTCCTTCGGATGAGCCTGTATAAACCAAGAGCCCGTGTCGCAGTAGGTGTTGGCATGAACAAAGATTCCTCCTTGCTCAATGGTCCCGAGTGCCGAGTATAGGACAGAATTTGCAGCTATCCACCGGCAAGTGGTTGCGTCTCTATATGAGTGAAAGATTTTCGAGAGGACGTTAAACAACATAAAATCAATCAATCGTCGCATACATTAAGCATATCATGTGTGGTCAAGATTCGTTGATATTTTCACACTAAGTTACACACTGAGGTTTCAAAAAATCTCTAAGTTGTTTAAAGTTTCAAAGTGAATATAAGATTTTTTATTTTTCTCGATTTTGTTTTAAAATTTGACAGTTAATTGAATATTTATTTAAGTTTTTCAAAACAAGAAATTAGAAACTTATTAACACTAACGAAGAGACGTTGTTACCTGTTTAAAATGTTATTATTATTTAGTTGTCAATTTTATCATCATTCTTTTATTATTACTTCATAGAAAATAAGGATACCTTTGTTGTAGAATATTGGAAAATATTGGTTAGAAGGCACTGATAGTATTCAGTATGGACCTTTTAGTGTAACCAAGAAAATTTCAACACAAGAAGATGAAAATTACAATGTTATTACCCTTATCCTCAGTGCAGAGCAACGGGTAAAATCATTACAATTGATGTGTATGGAATACATTTCTAAATATTAAGAAGCAATTTCGCCTACATTTAGACTTTATTTTATTAAAAACTTGTTTTGTTTTTCTTAAAATCATCCATTGATTACAAACGGTTTCTGCGAAAGATTTTTTTTAAATTATATATGTATTTTAATTGTATTTTTTTTAATTCGTTTTATCGTTTTCTTTTGTATTTAAAACTAACAAACAATTTTTACACAACCTTACTTATATAAACTATTATTTATTAGGAAGAAAGGATGATCACAGTATTTAAATGCAAGTTCTGGAGAGATTCCGAGACAATTCCGCCGTCCATTTCACCAATTTTAAAGTTAATAAATGATGTAGAAATGCATCATAATAAGAACAACACAGGACCTATCATTGTTCAGTGCCTGTAAGATTTGTGACCTTTTAGATTAAAATTATGTTTTAATATTTGATATTCGACATAAAACTTAAACAGCTTAGAAAACTTTTACAGATTCTACTGAATATCTTCCTTAGCGGGGTTGAAATTGAATTTTCACGTGATCTTTTTAAGAGGAATTGCTGATGAATTTGTAAATTTAGGTTGTTTTAAAAGTATAAATAAGTGGATGTTTTTCTGTGCTCTAAGTGTTCAGTAGTTTCAAAGAAAATATTACACGAAAAAATTATTGATTTTTTTTTTATAGAAATGGGGCTGAGAAAAGCGGTTTGTTTTGTGTTTTGCAAGTCGTGTTGGAAAGAATGAAAATAGAACAAGATGTAGCTATCCACCAAGTTGTTCAGCACATGCGAAGCGTGAGACCGAGCATAATTTCAAATATGGTACTGTATCAATTTCTTGAAGTTCGTCGGTGTATAATACTGAACATACATCATTTTTTAAACTAATAAATGTCATTGTGTTTCTACATGTATATTTTTCACTACAACCTTTGCATTTTCAGGAACAGTTCAAGTTTTGTTATGATGCTGTTATGGAATTCATGAAACAGTATGACGCCTATTCCAACTTCCAATGAGATGCACTTATCTTTTCTAAGAAGTGAAATATAACATTGTTTATTGCTGCTTGATGATAATTTATGTCAGCATTGTAATTATAAGCTTAGGAATGATCTTTTTATATATTTAAGAAGATAAAAGAGAATTTATGCAACTTTATAATCGCACTGCTTTAAATACTGCAGTATTTCTTATACTGAAACAACTTTTAGTTCTTTTTTATTATTTTGATTATTTATTTTTTCTTACATTTATATTTTTGGTATGTATTGTCATTTATTAACAGAAAATTTCTCTTCCTGATATAATAGAATTATAGAGAGAGTACAGTGAAGTTTGTATGCATGTGTATTCAGTGAAAAGCAAGACCTGGTTTTTATTTTTTGATAAAAAAAAAAGTTATCTTTGAGTGTGCACAAATGTGAGATTTTTCTGTCAAAAAAAAAGAAAACACAATTTAAAGAAACTGTTGGGGGATACTATAATTATTTCCAGTCTTTTATATAACATAATGTAGGACTTTCCGTTATTATTATTTTTTGACATGCTTATCTTTTATTTATTACTTTAAGAAATGAAATGTATCTTAGGAGATAGTCAAACTATGTATGGAATGCTATAAAACATTTATAGTTGAATATTGAAGATCTAATCTATTTTCCAATTCTTTATTTCACGTTTAACAGCTTACATCACCACTTCCAGTCAGGACCTCCACTTGAACGCACTACCCATGCCAATGACACATGACCAAACTCTTGCGCACAAGCTTTTTCACACAACACAATCACACTCATTAGATAGCATCAATCTCAAAATAAATAAATTGCTAAAAGGAAATTACTGTCCAAAATATTGCTAGAAAACATTTACAATCTACAGTCTCAGATATAGAGAATTCACAATCAATCACATTCACAAGAAACAAGTTTTACATTTCAAAGACCTCAAAACGTTGCGCTAATTTCCTAGTACGGGTTGACATTCTCAGTTACAGAGTTACTGTATTAGATGACGGGACATAGTCACTATTGTAAGTAGACTCAAGAGTCTGTTCACTAGAAGTCTCTGAAATATCAGATGCACTTTCCGGTTCCTGATATTTTTAACGAATGTAGTATTTCGCCTTACTGAAACTCCCTCCGCCAATTTTACGACACAGCTGTTTCCTTTTTGTGTACAAGTTTATATGACTCAGTATGATACGGCGTGTTCATTTTATCCTTGACAGCGTTCTTCAAGAGGGTCGAATCTCCTGGCCCTATCACAATCCACTGCAATGCGTTTCTCGTCGATATAAAGCTTGTTATTGTATTTGAAATTCTCATCCTTATCACGCACTCCATCATCATAAACATTTTCTTATAGATTTACTTGCGGGAGCTTGGTTCTCAGTATACGACGGAGCAAAAATTCTGCAGGTGGTTCTCCTGTTGTATTATCAAGTGTCGTTCTGTATGCAAATATATGTTTGTGGACATCCGTCTTCCAATTCTTAGACTCTGCTGCGCTATTCGAATTCTTTTCAACGATCTGTTCTACCACCCCGTTTGCTGACGGATGTAACGGTGTAACTGCTCGGTGCTTGATACAGTTATCTGTCAAATAATCCTTAAACAACTTTAATCTGATTAGGGGTCCATTGTCTGAAATTATTGGTAATGAAAGTCCACATCCAGTGTATTAATCATGTTATCCTTTGTAATACCAGTATCCTTGGTAATATCAATCTCATAGTATCGGCTGTAATAGTCAACAACGGCTAATACATATTGTCCAAATCTTAACGGTCCAAAAATGTCAATTACCAATTCTTGTCATGGTAATTCTGGCAAGGGTGTAGGACTAATTGGTTCTGGTTTCGGAAATGCAATGGTAACCTGACATCCACGACACGATTTTACATACGTCCCTACTTCCTTATCCATCCAAGGCCACTAAACCTCGTATTTGCTGTTTTGTACCAACATTTCATTAATGACCCTGGTGTACACACTGTACATACTGTACACACTGCTTCCTCAGATTTATCGGAATCACTATTTTGGATCCACGTAACACCACGTTTCCAATACAAGAAAGTTTATATCCGAGTAGGTAATAATTAACACATGATTTATCCCACTTTCCCTCTTTGACAAATTTCCGAATTCTAACAAGTTTTTCATTCCTCCTTGAATCTTTTTCTACTTGGCGAGTGGACAATTACTGAGGGGTGGCATCCCTTGCAATAATTTCACATATTAATCAGTGTCTCTTGAATTACTGTTTTATACAGGTGTCTTGTCCTCCAAATGTGATAATGCATCTGCGATATTCTGATGTCCAGGTGGGTAACATAATTTGAAGTTGTAAGCCATAAGTTTTAATAGCCATCGTTCAATTTTTGCATTAGGTCTGGATTGTCCTCCATAAAGCACTTCTGATGGCTTGTGGTCTGTGATTAATTCAAAATCAAATTATCAAAATCCCGTATAGATAGATATGGGACTTCTTGCATGCCCATACAACTGCCAAAGCTTCTTTCTCTATTGTCGAATAATTGCTTCGGCAGCTGATAATGTTCAACTAGCATAACTGATGACCCGTGTTTCACTCTTGTTAACTTGAAATAGGGCAGCTCGCGGGTCTATATTGCTTGCACCTGTCGAGTTTCTTCTGCATCTATTCTGTAATGCTAAAAGTTTTTCACACTTGAAAAACAACTCTATAAAGTGTCAAAAATTTTCTTCTGTTCAGCTGTCCAGATAAACTTCACATTTTCCTTTGTCAGCCTTCTGGTGGTTCTGCCACAGTAGCGAGCACTAATGTTCACAAGTTCAAGGAAACTTTTCACTTCATATCTATTTGTTAGCTCTTTAGCGTTGAGTATTTTTTGACAAGACACGTCCCATGAATGTTATTTTATTCATTCTAAATTCACACTTGTTTAGATTTAGTGTCAGTCCTTATACTTAAGTCTTTGCGAAGCCTCTCATAATGTTCTGATTTTTCACGACCATTAATTACAATATCGTCTGAAATAACCTGTACTTCTTCACAGTCATAAAACACTTGTGAAATCATTTGCTGATATTTCTCCGAAGCTGATGAAATCCCAAACATCAGTCTTTTATATCTGTAGAGACCTTTATTAGTAACGGATGCAGTGATCTCCGTTCACGCTTCTTCCAGCTCAATTTGATGGTGTCCACTTCTTATGTCCAACTTACTAAACAATTGGCTACCATTCACCATGTGGAGTATGTCATTCACTGTTTGAATAGGATGCCGCTTACGAATTATGGCAGCATGGGCTTGTTTAATATCGACCCACAATTTAAAGTCACAATCGGTTTTTGATACGAAAATGTCCGGACTGACCAACGGTGTAGGATCATTACCTTTTTCATGATATCCTGAGACTCGAGTTCATCCAATTGTTTTCCTACTTAATCCCTCAAACAGTACGGAATTCTGTACAAAGTTTGTGCTACTGGTTTCACATTCTTGTCAATATTTAATCTCAACATAGAGTCTTTAAGTTTTCCTATTCTTTGAAAATACTCGGAATACTAGTATTCATGAACAATGTATGTTGTCTATACTCTGTTGACTCCAAGTTTCAAAACTCCTAAATTCATAGCAGTGCCTCTGCCTACTAACGCTGGTCCTTTTCCATCCATTAAATAGAATTCCTCTTCTCTACTGTTACTAGTATCTTCGATTGTTCCGAGATCTGAATTTTAAGGGTTCTGTAGAACTGCAAGCAAAGAGCCTTTTCTCTGACTGACACAACGTCCACAACAAAAACACTCACTACCTAGTTTCTTGTCCTGAAATCTTGGTTTCTGTTTGTCAGTTTTTCACGATGTCCCTGAATTCTGTTAACCGACACTAAAATCTCAGTGTCAGTATGTCTTGTCTGTACTTCAGTTATTAGTCCCCTACCGGTGAAACCGGGGGGACTATAGGTTTCCTCTGCGTACGTCCGTCCGTCTGTCTGTCCCCGTCAGTCTGTCCCACTTGGTTTTCCGCACTTTTTTTCTAAACGCTTGTAGATATTGGGCTGAACTTTGGCATGTGAGTGTATCTTAATGAGTTACAGATCAAGTTTGAATATCTCTTTGCTTCATTGATTTTTGACAGAATTATGGCATTTTGAATATTTTTCATAATCGCTTAATTATAATCGGATTCGAACTGCGCTAACTTCCGATTGTCGACAAAAATATGAAGCGAGGAAAAGACGGTGGTCGGGTGGAGAAATGAGTTGAATTTTCGTCTTAATGTGGATTATTTTATTAGTTTCAAGGCATTTACAACTTGAAAATCTTTCAGTTTTACCTTGGACATGACTTTTGCATATAATAAAATGACATCCTGAAGAAAAAGGGGAACCCGGTAGGGGACATGTATTGCTTATGCAATACTCTCAGAATGCTTGTTTCATTTGTAGTTGCTTAATTTTTTAAAGTCAAATCTTTTTCTTTCCCTAATTTTGTGAGGCCTACACTTTTCAATCACTTGATCCTGAATTTGCTCATCCTGATTTGCAAAATCACAATACGCTGCCTGTTGTCTCAGTTTTGTAATAAGCTGTTATACTGTTTGTCGCTATTTATTATTTTACCAAAAGCGTTACGTTCGTACGGAACATTCAATTTGCTTTCAAAATGTTTATCTACAAATTGTTATTGTCATCCGCTTCCTCTACATTCAATGTGTAAAAATGTCTTGACCTTTAAGTCCCGCACAAAATAATAACAAATGTTTTTTTTTTCTGTTTTCATCTTCATCGCTAGTACAAATAGTCGAATTTAATCAATTTTGTTCACACATTACTTCGATTTTAGACATAAACATTTGGTATTTACCGATCCTTTGCCAAGAACACGTATAATTCACGGGTCTTTCGGATGATCATGATAGCTTTTTAAAAAAGTCCCGGGTCAAGAAGGATGTTGGCATGAGAAAGAACCTTCTTTGCATAAGGATACTGACAGCTTACTATAAACTATACATGTAGGTCTACATTTAAAGCTCTTCGATGGTATATGGTGACATCTCTATATGGGTGTAAAATTCTCGAATGGAATGTAAAACAACTTATCATGAATCAATCACATTTTTTCATTGAATATTACAAAAATAGACACAGTCTTCTACAGAAATCGTTTAATTCCCAACCATTTTTTTTTTAAATATGGCAACTTGAATGGTGGTTAGATATCCAGAGTGGAGGTAAGAATGTCTTTACTTGTGAAGGTTTTTATGCATTGCTATAAAGACAACATTTTATCATTCCTATCATGAGTCCTGTGTCACGGTAGGCGTTGGCACAATAAAGAACTTTCGCTGTTCCATGGACCTGAGTGCCGAGTATAAGTCTAAATCTGAAGCCTTTCACCGGCATACGGTAGCGACTCTGTATTAGTTAAAAATTCTTGAATGGAACGTTTAACAATATACAATC